GCTCCTTCGAATTCATGTTCTTCATCATCTTGATTTTCCTCTTCGAATTCCTCAGTTTAAACGGCTGGCGATGATCAATAAATGATCAATCTTGATCAGTMTTGTATTTTATAAGTGAAATCAGGACATAGATTAGATTTTCCATTACATCTATCTTCTCCTCACTTTAGGATTTCCCATCTCGTTTTAGTAATGGTTATTATATTTAAAATAATATCTTTTTAATATTTGTATTCGGTCTTTTCTAATTTTCTTTTCCATATTTTATTATATACAATCTATTAGAGTTTGGAAACTCTAAAAAAAAGTTTTTTTTTTCCTTCATGTCTAGGGCGATTAAGATTAAATAATATATATTGGGTAAGATTAAATGTCTAAGGCTTTGGATGATCCTGCGTGCGAATTTCATGACAAACCATCACTATCTTTTTTGGAACTTAATTTTCTTAAAAAAGTATTTTGTATTTTTTAAATTAAACATATTTTGAAAATTTATGCTACTAATTTAGATTTTTTTAATATTTTCTTAAACAAAAATATATTTTATACTTTTTTATATTAAAAGAATTTTGATTTTTTTATTATTTTAAAGATAATAATTTAGGATAAATTATATTTTCTTTAATGAATTATATTCTTCGTATATATGCTATATATTTTTATATTATATCTATTAAATTTTATTTTAACTAAAAATAAAAATAAGCCAATCTGAGTTAATAACAGTAAATAGGTATCAAACATCATTTTTTGTTCAAATTATTTTTTTTAAGAAACAATAAAAAAAATGGTTACCAAATTTATTTCTATTTGTAATTTTAAAAAAATTAGAAACAAAGAATAACGAAATGAAAAATAGAAAACAGAAACAAAAATCACGCACGGCCGACTTGGCTCAAGCGAAATCCAACTTAGGCGAATGGGTGAACCGAAGGTCGCTCGGAAGAACCCTGTCCGAGCAGCGAAATACACTGATGGGACGTCCATCTACTCGCTATAAATATACCAATCATCCATATGGGCCCAAGTATCAAAAATCTGTTTGATACTTATAAATACTAACTTGACGGAGTGGCATATCTGATACCTCCTTGTAGGTACCTCAAGAATCGTTCTAAGTGCCGTCAATCGACCTCGGCAGAATTTTGCATCCACAGCTTCCATTTGACTAGTGGCTGCCCAGTTAGGGCTTCCATTGCATCTTCTCCTCATTTCACAATATTCCTGTTCTTTTTTTTTCTACGATTCTCTTATTTGATTATTTCCTTATCTATTTCATTTTTCATTCTAAATATATTTCTTGATATATATTTTTGTTTTATTTATTCCTTTCCCTCACGTTCTGTTCTTTATTTTTATATTTGTATTATTTTCATCCTGGCCTTTTTTTCCTAATCTAAATATTCACTTTTGTTTACTTGTATTATCCTTCATGCTTAAAAAAAAAAAGAAGTTATAAATAATATTAATTTATAATTTAACTAGGTAGGAAAACGAAAAGTTTATTTATTAATTATAATTTATATAAATTTGTTAATTTTTTTTAGTACAAGATTGAAGTTGAAGATATATATCAATTAACCCACTGAACTATGCTCATTTTGACTATGAATTTCTTAATTTATGATAATATCTCTAGATGCTGATATTTGATTTCTTTGACAAATTGATGTACATTTATTCATTAATTAAATTGTTATTGTTTGTCTTGTGAATTTAYTTATTCGCTATTTATATTATATATTTTKTTTGAATTTTTTTAATAAAAAAATATCTTACCTTCATCCTAGTTTGATTTCAAAAGAGTAAAATTTTCTGAAAAATTCAGAAAATTCTAGAGATTGATCCATATGAATTTAGTTTAGAATGCCAAATAAAATTCATAAACAATTTTTTTTATTTAATTATGGATGTCAATACCTTCTCCATACACAATCTTCAAACCCAAATCTTTTTGTGCAGATAAAGCATTTAGGTGACCTATCACACTATATAAAAAACTCATAGCGACCTATTTAGTCTTTATTAAAAATTATTTATTTGAGTAAATAATTAATCATGGCTTTAAACCTTTTCACAAAGAATGTTTCATAATCATTATAGATTTTCAAATTTGAAGAAAGATGTGTTGTTACTAAAATATATATTCTCCTTTATGATTTCTCCTACCACATTTATTATGAGATTTAATTTATATTTTTATAGTTTGATTTTTATTTAAGGAAAATATATTTATTAATGATTAAAATTTCACCATTTTGAATTTTTATTAATAAATAGGTTATACTTATCTGATAAAACCATAGCTTAATCCTTGAGTCTCTATTAACCTCTTAATTTTCCACTTTTTACTAGATTTATTTAGCGTTTTTTTCGATAAACAAAACCATGTGCATTTTAGTTCTTGTGAAAATAATGTGTGATAAAACCATGTAGTATGTGATATGCAATTAGAAATATAGAAGATTGAGTTCCTTCCATAGAAGAAGCTATGGTGGTCAAGAAGATTATTAGAAGTTATAATCCTAATTTATTTAAGGTACTTGTAGCTATATTATGTAATAAACATATTCTACAAAGGATGAATGCTTTAATTTTGTCGAATTAGACCACAAATTCAAAATGTCTGGAAAAGCTCTATTAGTAGGTTTGGTTCGACGCTTTGAAATGTGTTGGACATGTATCAGGTGAAGCTGTGCTAATACATTATCTTTTTTATGGTTCTATCTTTTGGAATTCTATAGGTAATATTGTTTTTTATTTATAACTTATAATTTTAGTTAGCCATTAATTTGAGTAATCATGAGATAGTGTGGTTGATAAAACCTTATTAGAGGACCATATATGATGGTTGAATGGGACAGTTTGTGACAACCAAAATCAAAACAAAAAATTAAAGCTGATTTGTCATATTTTATTTGCTTTATAAGCACTTCGGGAAAAATAAAAGAAACAATGTTACAAACTCCCCCCGAGTGATCTAAGTTTAGATTGTCTCTATTCTTAAAAAGATATATCAACAAATAGGAACTATTCTTCAAGCAACTCAGACTAAAATCTTGTGGAGAGAATCAAAATTGAAGGAGTCAAATGAACTTTCTTAATTTTAAGATGTTGATTTGTCAATGACTTCGTCCTCTCTGTCTTAGGGTCATACAAGATTAGATAGAGTCCACCAAGAAGAAGGGTCATACAAGATTAGATAGAGTCCACCAAGAAGACATAAGATCTTCCCATCTTCACAAGCTCTAATAAGTTGAGAGTGAAATGGTTGATGACATGAATATTCAACTGGTATATTGATAACATCAAATACTTTAGTCCATTAAAAATCTTCTTCCATCATCCACACATCATATGCATACTTGAAATCTTTGTCGCACATAGGATTAAACAGAGTGTCATTCAAGACTCCAATGAAACAACAAAGAGAGCTATGGGGGAAAAGAGATTTCCTGCAATTCCTCAGCTTCCGAGTATATGACATGTGTAACAACTGGTTGTAGGTCATCTACAATCCAATAGAGACCTCCATTTCAAGTTTGGAGGCAGAAAGCCAACGAGGGGTCCATTTGCAACTTGTGCCAAATGTGAAAATCTCCATCAAAAAGAATAATAATAGCATCTACCCTTATGATATGCATCTAACATGGGAAGTTTGAAGTACTCATTTGTGTTGAAATTTAACAAGCAAGCTTCAAAAGATGGCATTTTGATTTTTCTATGGACAAGATAACATTGCACAGGAATTGACAATGGAGATACTAGTGGAGGAAAAATTAGGATTTAAGCTAAAAAAAAAATAAACTAATGAATCATATAGAGCCAAGGAAATCTAATTCAAAATTTAATATTTAATTCCAAATCTAGGTTTAATTGAAAATCAAATTCAAATTCGATTTTGCAATATTTAAATTAAGACTTAATCAAGTATCAATTTTAAAAATAATTTGATCTTTAAAGTATCTAAGTTACCTCTTTTTTTTTTAAAAAAAAAATTGTTTTCGATATGTTTAAATTTGAAATTGTTCTAAAGATTTAACCAATAATCTATTTCAAATTTCCGTTATTTTTATTTTATTTATTTTGTATTTTTAATAGAAAATTAAAAAATAATCGGTACTAAATAAGAGTGGAGCTGTATTTTTATAATTGAAATATATTCTTGAAATTTGAAGTTATATTATTTTTTCGAAGTCTTATATTTTAATAATTGAAATAACTATAGAAGAATCTGTTTTCTACAAATTACAACTCCAGCATCATCCGTACATATGAAAAGAAGATAAAAGAAAGAAATTTTAGGCAATGGATGGTTAATGATGGAAAGGTGAAATTTTGTAAATACCTCTATAAAAATCTCCAAATCTAACCAAAATTGGAAGGAAAAAGGAGTTTAAATTTCTTCTAATAAATAATGTAAAATCCAACTTTACCTTTAAACAATATCATAGTTAAACACTAAACTTCTAGATTCGGTGTCTAGTAATTTGACAAACCTTTAAAACGTGTATAATAAATATATAAACTTTCAATTTTGTATATTCTTATTGAAAAAGAAAAGTCTAATATGTCTTGAAATTTTTAAAAGTGTTTAATAGGACTAGTTTTGTGTTTAATTAATTTTTGATGGATTTCATATTTTTTTTTAAAATTAAATTATTAACCACAAAATTGAAAGTTTGTAAAGACCTATTAAATACTTTTTAAATTTAAGGGATCCATTCAAGCTCAAAATCGAAGGTAGGGAGTTAATAAGTATTTTTTAAAGTTATGAGACATATATATTAAATTTAAAGACAAGAGCTTAAGCACTAAAATCTTAAATTCGAAAAATCCTAATAAATTTGTTTAAAAAAATAAAAATTCCAATAAATTTTATGGATAAATATTGAAAACCTAATATGTGTAGGTTTTTAGTTATAAATAGAAAAAGATGAAGCCTTAGGCTAAAGAGTGCCGGCAGCCACCGTTTTGTTGAATTGTTACGGAAGAGTAAGATGATGAATTCGAAGACGATGAAGAACATCAATTCGGAGGTTTTACCAGAACTGATTCAGTTGATATTCTCGAAACTTTCCTTTGTGAACTTACCCAGTTGCAGGCTCGTTTGTAAAGCATGGAACAATCTGGTTTTAACTTGTAACTCCCATCCTCCCATCTCAAGTTCCAGCCTCTTTTTTATCCATATTTCTCCGCAGGATAGCAATCTCCAAGGCATAGACATGGGAGGGAGGAGCAGTGTTGCCTCGTTTAGCTTCCATTCTAATTTCCCCTTTGCCAGTATCTCTATTATCGATTCATGTAATGGACTCCTCTGTTGTTATCTTGTCCATGAAAGAACCGCAAGGCCACCTCGTGAACCTTTCATATTRAATCCCATGACAAATGAGTACTTTAAACCTCCCTTCTCGAATGCAGATGTTTGGTATTATTGTTTCGGATTTGGGTTTAGTCTTAAGACAAAGCAGTACAAATTAACAAGACTCTCCTTTGCTTGGGAGAAACATGCTACCTTGGTGGAGATTTTCACACTTGGCACAAGTCGCAGCAAATGGAACCCCGTTGGCTTTCTGCCTCCAGACATGACAATGCMAGACGATGGTGTTTACTTCAATGGAGGCCTTTATTGGGTTGCAAATCAACCATTTGGCCGTACCAATGTCATGTACCGTTTAGATATAGAAGATGAGGAATTGCTGGAAATTTCTTTTCCCCAACGTGGCCCGTGGGTGTTGTTGTTGTTTCGTTGGAGTCTTTAACGACACTCTCTGTTTAACCGTGTGTACCTCAGATTTTGGTTATGCGAACCATGTGTGGATGATGAAAGAAGATTTTTCATGGRCTAAAGCATTTGAGGTTAACAATGTATCGCTATTGTCTTTGTGTGTGCATAATCGACCATTTCATCTTCAACCTATTAAAGCTGGTGAAGATGGAAAGATCTTGTGTCTTCTTGATGAACTCTATTTTATTTTACGCTGGAGATGTTGGAGATACTGACATATCACCATGTCAAAATTAAGAAAGTTTATCAGATTGACTCTCCACAAGATTTTAGGAGGGGATGCTTGAAGTATGGTGTTTATTTATTTTATTTATTTATTTGACATATCTCCATTGTTTTTTTTTTAATTTTTTAATCCTGTTATCAGCAAAATATAATTTATAATTTAATCATGTACCCAAATTTAACTCTCTCAACTTTTTTACTGATCTTTACCAAGCAATTTTTACATCTTTCATTGACACATTATTTACATTTAGTTCATCCCTTTTCATCATTCCCTCTCTATTACTATTCATACTTGGACATCTTTTTTAAATTTATATTTAATGAACACTCTCTCTGTATATATGTATATAGTTGTTTGAGTTTGCTTTTAATAATGATATATTTCATTTTTTTTTCTTTTAATAACAAATTTACAAYAAAAAATATAAATAAAATAATACCATCTATTTTATCATTCATCAGAATAAAAATATTSTTCTTCGAAACACAAATATGTGGTATTGAAAAGATACAGTAAAAAAAGATACAATAAATTTGAAAAAAGATACCTTAACTTAAAAAAAATTAACATTTTAGTGGAGAGTTCATTAAAAAAAGAAATTAATGGAGGAAAATAGATAATATTTTTTTTTCTTTTTTAAGTATAAAGATTGGGCGGGAGAATTCGAACTCATGTCTAGAAAAGTCAAGAGTCCTATTAGCGAAACAAAAAACTTTAATTAAGTATTAAATTTAGAAAAAAGAATCAGTTGATTTTATTTGGATGTTTGGTTAAAAAGTTATTAATTAAATATGTTTATTCTGTCCATAAATAATGAATGAAAAATGTGAACTTATCTGTGTGGTTGCTTTTGAATCTAGGATTTATTAGTGTTTAATTATATAGAATATTAAAAGTTGTAGAATCTCAACAGTTTAATATATTTAATTTGCTTGTCTTTTAAATTCTATTTCAGTGGAAGGATTAGAATACGAAAGTTTTTATCATCTTTAACAGTGTTTAATTATAAAGAATATTAAAAGTGGTAGAATCTCAACAGTTTTGCAACCTCTTCCTTACAACTATAAAATAACTGTTTTTCACTCATTTTCAACAACAATTTCATACTTGTTTCTTTCTTTCTTATTCTCCTACTTTTGTTTTTATTTTCTCTCTCGYTATTTCTTATTTTTAAGATTTCTTAAGTAGGTGGATATAACATTCTAATTTTTTAGAGCATATAAAAAATCATCGAAAACATAATACTTAAATTGTGACAAAGACAGACAAGAGAGGCTACCTTCTGTAATTGTAAGAGAGGTAGCGATGAAGCAACTCACGTGGCTGCAAAGATGACGATCCATTCTGTAGTTGAGGGACTATGACCAGAGGAGACACCTGCAAAAATTTTGAGGGAGCTGATGCAACTTACATCTGTGAAAATTTTGACGAAGATGATGCAAGTTGCTAGGACTATAAGTCTTGAGGTAACTGAGTTACTTTAATTTTATTTATTTTAACTATTTAAAAAAAATTGTCTTTATTGAATTATTTTTTAACCACTCCTCATCTCACTCGTTATTCTCCTATATTTGATGGATTTTTTTTTGTCTTTTTAAATATCTTCATCTAAATTTCATTATTAATACATTTGTTTAAGCAAGGATATGCACAACAGTGTATTTCAGATTGCAGCTCGAACTCGGCCTCCGGACCGATCTGAATACTTGGGCGGACTTGCACAAAAAGGTGAGCACTCCGACGATCAAGTCAGTATAGGTCGGATTTCCAGTTTAATTCGAGGTCAGAAATCATCGTACCTGATCGCGGAGTGAGGTCCTCTACTTATGGGTGGTAGTCCCGCTAATCCCGCGACGGTTA